TTCCCCATCAGCGAACAGCAAGCCTGCAAGGAAAAGACCAAGAAAGCGGGAGAGGGAAGTCAGATACGAAACAAACTGGCTCTCAGAGCACTTTACTGGAACCACTAAAACTCGCTGGCCCTCCAACGCGGCCTAGTGTTTCAGCCAAAACCCTACTCTGAGGCAAAGAGGGCCACCAATACAGTCATTATAACAATTCTGTTTCTCCTTTTCCTGGTTTACAGGCAAACAGGGTTATGTCATTCAGACGGAGAGGCCCCACTGCGCAGCTGAGAAGGTTATGGATACTGCATTTAGTTACAAATGTTGTTGACACGAGTAGAACTGGCAACCACTTCCACTAGCTCCTCTTTCAACCAACCGTGGATGTTCTTGAAATGTTCTGCTACGCTCAGAGGGATACTTAACGTATTTTTTACTATTTTTAAAGAGTTAGTCATCTCTTACTCACTGTCGTTCCAAACCCGTATGACTTTCTATCTTCTGATGTTGTTACAATACCAGCATTTCAGTAGTTACCAGTACTCCAGTAATAAATTTGAGGGTAACATAGTAAAAAATATTGGAACTACACTCTCAGGAAAAATATATGCATGTTGTCACTAGGGCAGTACATTTTCAAAAAGTAGACCTTTGTACCTTATTTACTCCTAAAGGTGCATGTTGATACCTTAAAGGTAGATGTTAGTGCCCAAATTGTACATATTAATAACTTTTGAAAGGGTACCGCCCCAGTGATAGCTTTTGCACTACTATTTTTTGCTATTTTATGTGACTATTTGAAAATAAGAAATATTAAATGTGCTAATTATTAATGGTAATAGTAATTAAATACATTAACAAAACATTAGCATTTAGCCTTCACATATCTATTTTGACGTACATTTGTCACTCCCAAAGTTTTGCTTTGTGTGCTTAGCAACATGTAAAATATGACTTTTATTCTTACTTTGAATGGGTGATAATCACTGAAGCTGTCAATCACTTCAGTTTAGTGTGAGCTCACTCTTGCAAAAACTTGTTATAATCAATGAAGCGTACCGAATGTAATGAACTCAGTGAAAAAATGTCAGTGTTTTGAGTGGTATTGTGTCTAATTTTAAATTGGCCATTGCATTCACATGCTCAACAGACAAGTCTGTGATTGGCTACAGTGCTCAACACTTCAAAAAATATGTAATTAGAAACCTGTGAACCTCTTTACAATGTTCACACAAAAATACACAGTATAAGGCAATGTCTGGTATCATCATATTGTTTACATCTCAGTATCGGCTTTGTACAGTTTTGACAACACTACTTTATCGAGTGTCCAAGCTGCTCTCTTTCATACAGTGAATGTCAGTGGTGACAAATGGTTGCCAAAAAGACCATAATAGATAAAAACTTTCAATCAATTTGACTATATTTCAAGTCTGTGATAGTTTTGTGTACAGTCAAATTTAAGTTGAAAATCATGTTTAACAGCTGTAGTCACCATTCACTTTCCTTGTATGGAAAAAAACTGCTTTGACCTTCTACTAATGATATACTGTATGTTTTGCGTACTATGGAAGAATGAAAATCATATGGTTTTGGAAACGACATGAGGGTGAATAAATGCTGACAGAAGTTTCATTTCTGTGTGAACTATCCCTTTAAGCCCTAAGACTTCATCATGAGATAAGGAGGCCCAGACATATTCTCTGACATGCTCAATGGCTGAAATTCTTGAAGAGCACATTGATGGAGTGAGATACTTTAGATTCAAAGTGGTTTCATGCGGTACAGTACACTGGGCCTCTGGATCGGAGCAGATATGCTGCTGTCTGGTCAGACAATACCCTGAAGTGAGATGGATCTATGCTAATCGCCAAGCCTAACAGCACTGACAGTGAGGAGAATAAAGACTGAAGAACTGGCTGCCTCATAGCACCAAGAGTTCTTCATCTGTGCTCAGGAGAGGGAATGAGAGGGAGAAAGCGTGCTGTGTATTTACTCAGGTGTGTTCCTGTTCTTGGCAACTGTGCTACAACAATATTGAAAACAGGCTGCTGAGCTTCATGAACAACCTGAACGAGGGGATGATGTTTCAGTCAAATCTCGGGTGCTCCCCCTCCTCGCTAAAATATTTCTTTATCCGAAATGCAAGTCATGGGATGCCTGGCGATTCGAGTGAGTGCCTCAAGACAATACAGTCTTTAATTTTTTTGTAGTCAATGCCAAATTTTCCTTTTGATCATGAATCTGTTTGAGAGTTGAGTTTGGCTTTAAACATTTACATTCATGTGTTTAACAGATACTTTCATCCAAAGTGGCTAACAAATGAGAAACATAAGCAATTTGCCTTATTTACTTGACTAGATTGAACTGCATAAATGAACGTTCACTTTTGAATGAGTCGTTCACCGGTTCTTTTCAGTGAACTGAATTATTCCTTTATAAATCGGACTGATTTGTCAATTTTGCTGACTCTCAAGATGATCAGTAAATAATCACTGTGGATATTTTGAAGAATGTTGTTAACAAACCCATCTTCTTTCATTGTATTGTTTGTCCATATAATAAAAGTCAATGGGAATCAAAACTGCTTGGTTACCAACTTTCTTTAAAATATCTTATGTTCTACAGAAGAAAGAAATGCTTATAAGTTTGCAGTGAAATGAGGGTGAGTAAATGATGACTTGAAATGATAATTTTGGTCTGTTCCTCACACAAAACTATGACTTGGAATATGGGATGCAAGTTACATGGAACACTTCCATGACATTTTCTCAATGTTAATAGAAAAAAAAAAAACTAAATAAAGGCGCTAATTGTTCACTCCACAGAAGAAAAAAAGGAGCTAATAATGATGAACAGTAAGGGTGAGTATGTAATGATGGAATTTTAATTTTTGGATGCACTGTTCCTTTAATTGCACAAATGTATAACCATCCCACTGTTATCTACAACTACTAGCACATAAATTATAACTTTTAGACATTAAAGATTGTAAATTTCCAGGATTTCAGGTTTCATGATTGTAAATTGAGACGATCGAACCCATAAATGTCTTTTACAGCATCAGTTTTTGATATTGGGATCTCCGCAGTGTAGGGATACAACTGTTTAACAGTCATACAGAATGCCACATTTTATCCAATGACATCATTTTCTGGATGAAACTTCAATCGCCTGGGGTCTGTAGAGTTGCATGCCCCACACAATGTGCCTGCAGTGTGCCAATGAAATTACATGTTTGTTCTGCTTCTCCTCAGAGCTATCCAACCCATTACCAATGCTTTTGGATAGAAGTTTTCCAGGAGACATTTTTCCAGGTCTTACTTCTAAAAGAAAGCACACAGTGCGTTGTGTACTCACTTTAAAATGTAAAGCAGTCTCACATGGCCAAATAAGCATATAGAACTCTTGTCAAGAGTGAATATATAATATTCAAAGTGCAGAAAACTGACTCACTTTTAATTGTTTCATGATATCGGTTATGTAGTAGCTTGTTTTGATTGATCAAGGCACTTTATTATGCAAATAACCCTGCTAAGTCTGAAATTTCTGTCAGTTGCTTGGAGACATGTCAGACTTCACCCAGCAGAGATGGAATGTAGACGACTGACTGGGCCAGGGTGTGTCTTCATATTGGGACATGTTTGTGTGTGCAAGCTGTGAGTAAGGCCATGTCTTCTGTCTGGTCCTTGATGAGGACCTTTGCTGGTATGTGGACCTTGTCTCATGAACTGTTCATGGGCTTGCTATGGGAGACTGGAACTGTGGCTTCTTTTCTCCAGTGGCCTCTAGGCTCCATAAGGAGATACAGACATTTCAAATACTTGCTTTGCAAGTTAGGGAGATAGTTTATGGAAAAAAAAAGAGCTAGAGAAAACTCGTCAAGAGCCCACAGAAGCAATTATTGCATTATGAATCACTAGTGTTGGAGGTAATGCACATAAAACAATTTTTTTTCCAAGTAACATGTTTACGTTTGCACCATACTATCCAAGTTACTGTTTCAAATAACTAAGATGAATTACACATTTTTCAGCAGAATTTTTAAACATATACAATTTATTTGTTTTATTGATTTACTATTTAATTTACAGGTGCAGCACGACATTCTAATTTATTGAGATGCACCTGTATGTATCTATGGACACAATAAAATGATATTTTCCTTTACATATGTTTTTAACATAAGTAATGCAATTTTGGAAGACAATACTTAAAAGTAAATATTACATTTTAACTTTTAAAAGTAAAAGTTTTTCTCAGGCTCCTATGCTTATGTTCAGTTGTTTTACTTTAATGGCAAAGAAAAGTGAAATTACTGAACCTACACATAGGAGCCTGATAAAAATGCTCATTTTAGTAGAAAATATCAAACGGCACTTTTGCAGGCTTTTGCATCTGAATTCTTCATATATTGTTGCGCATTTTAGATAAAAAGAGTGTAATGTCAATAACCTTTTTCATGAGTAACACAATATTGTAAAAATAAATTTGTCAAATCAAATGTATTTGTAGTATATATCGCCCTACACAAGAATATACTATATGTACGCAGATGGAGTTTTTATATATTCAAATTATATATGTAAGAGCTGAGCTGAGCAATAATATAATTGAATTTAAAAAAAAAAAAAAAAAAAAAAAAACAGTTGAGATTTGTATGTAGTATATACTGTATGTGTACATTGTGTGATGTCTAATTTCTGATATTTTATGCAAAAACCACTGTCAGTGACTAGTTTAATAGCTTTAAAAAAAATCCTTAAAGGTGCAATGACAGCTAGTGGTTGAAATTTGTACAGTGGTCTAAATTCAAAATATTGTTGATTAAATATTGGTTGTCAGATTGAAGACACGCAAAACACAAACGAGTGCAACTGACAATGGAAGATGACTGATGAGTTGATTTATCTCATATTTTAATATGCCTGTGGTCATAGAGCTTGTTGATGTATGCCGAGGCTTTTTAGGTCAGGTAGAATCTACGATCATTGACCCAGTTCATTTGCTCACTTCCATGGCTGCAGTATGCTGTGTTTTCTGCAAACTGGCAACCCAGGCTGTTGAAATATTATGGGATAAACTGTAAGCGGGTGGAATCACACAAACCAAAACAAAAACAGACATTCCGACACAGAAAGCACATTTTCAAAATGGAACAACTGGCTGTAGTACTGTTTTTTGGAGAAACAAGTATGTGATCTTAGCATGTTTCCTGAATATCTGTAAATGTAATATGCCATTTTTATGCTTTAGTACAGTCAAAAAATTACCTACAGCATGTCTAAAGTCTGAATAGCTAAACTTGTCTTCAGTACAGTTAGGGATTTGATTCTTTAATGTAGTTGGCAGGGAGGTGGCACTAGTTCTCTCCAGGCCAAATTGACTCTGATGTTAGGGAGGATATTCCTCATCTGTTGGTCATTGTTGGAGATAATGGGAGCCATATTACATCAACACTACACCATAGGCAGCCTTTGACCCCATCTTATTTCCAGTGATGCCGCTCTGTGGCACTGCCAAGATGGTAATCATGCGTGGAGCTCAATGGGATATACTTTCACCTCAAACCCAGCTCAGAATTGGCTGAGGCTCTGCATATGAACACAGAATGACTAGAAAGTTGGGGCAAAAGCAGAGGATTTGGGGTGGACACACTCGATGCAAAAATACACCACATGTTAGCAACTGAGGGCAAGTTAACCGGAAAGCTTTATTAAACATGGGCATAGCCGTTATGTCTGTGACCATGAGCTTTTATAGCACCAGAGCCTGTAGAGGCTTTACTCAATGGCCTGTGTAATCTATCAAATGACTTATGTCAGCCATAACCAGGGCTTTTGCGGAAATTGGCTCATTTGCTTTCCTTCCAGACTGGAAACTGTGGAACTGTCGATCTGTTTTGTATTTTTTTCTCAACGAGGCATGTTTACAAGGTTTGTTTACAATGATAGAATCAAAGCGCTGCTGCAATACAGAGAGACTTCACCCTGTCTGTGGTCGGTTGTGGTTATTGTATGCAGATTTTGCAAGCCACTCTGAAATTTCAATAGGTCAGGCTTATAAGCTGCCAAATAATTTTAGTCGGATCTATTTCACATAATAGCTTTGAAGATATCTGAGTAAAATCACAACATCTGTAAACGGAAACAGAGTTTGGTATTAAAATATTCCACATATTGAAATATTTCTGTAGCGCAACCGATAGAACATACCGCTTACAACGTTAAGGTCAAAAGTTCAATTCCAAGGGAACATAATGACGAAAATGTTTCGCTTGAATGCACTTTGTTGCTTTAGATGAAATGGAAACGTACAGCACAACAAATTTCTCTTGAATAGAATATTTTATAACATGGGTTTTTGAAGTCTGTGTTGTGTTCACTTAAAGTCTGTGTTCACTGCAGTTTATTCAGCTGCCTTTCTAACCATGCTACTTTAAATCCATAATGTTATGCGTTGGAACTTATTACAAGGCTCTCTGGAATACTTGATTTTGATTGGTCTGTTGCAGGATTCTGAAAGTCAAATAAAAAAATATATTTGTCCATTATCCTTGTAAACAATTTCATCCTAGTTTATTATAATTTAAATTTAGTGTTATTTTAGAATTTAATATATTATTGTTATTTTTGATAAAATATTTAACAATTATTTAAAAAGAAATAAAACTCATCTTTTATTTATTTATTTACCACTAAACTATTCTCACTTATTGGAAAAGAAGCCTTAATGTGAACATTCTTCTCTTCATCTGTGTATTCACCATGGAGGTCCCTGTTATTTATTAGCATTTACTGAGTACAGAGAAAGCGAGACCTCAAAGCGTTGTGTGCGTACCCCCTAGACCGCAAAAGTTATTAGTTGTGTTAGACGGTGTCTATAATGGTTTAAGCACCAGGGGCCTCCGAAAGAGCCGTTTTGCTGTTAATTAGAGGGCAGTGATTTAGCCCCATGGAGAGGCAGGCCACCAGTGCACTCACTTCCCCTCATCTTCACACTCAAAGTCACGGCTCCTCCTGAGCTATGAGTCAGGCCTGCCTGCACGGCCCATGCCAGACAGGAAGCCCCATCTGCCCTGCGCCCAGGCTCACCATTTGCCAACGGTGCATGGCCTGATTTCGGGTGAAACTGATTAAGTGAAACAACAAAGGTTCTTCTACAAACCCCCACTGACTGTGTGCTTGATCTTTATAACTTTCGTGCATCTTTATACTCTCACACATGCTGAACAGTTTCAGGATTCATCTCGTTTCCTGCGCAAATTGGCTATAAAATTTGGTCTCATCTTCACCTAAGTCAGAGGTTCTCAGACTTTTTCAGGTGGCAGATTAACTCAAATTCATAATTTTATTTATCATTAAAGGTAATTAGACCGCTGTTAAATCTAAATGAGCTGACTGTTCGCTACACTGAAAAAAATGGTGTAGGATTTATTTTGAAAGTATATTTAAAGGCTTCACATACTTTCAAACACTTGCTACTATAATCTACGTGCATCAGTGTTCATGCATAATGCTGACATAAACACATTTGCAAAAAAATTGCAGTGATATTGTTATGGAGTACAGGTGGTTTATATGATTTCTCCCATCCCAGATGTGGTCAGTTACCATAGATGATTCACTGCCTGTCAGCAGGGTCGATTTTAATCATTGTTATATGTTTTAGGTCTTCCATATGTGTCCTGAGGACCTGCATGTCTCTCTATCTCTCTATCTCTCTGCTGTTTACGCTACAGGAAAAACCATCGTCAGATTAGAGTGGTCTGCCTCATCTCAACTGCTTCCACATTACTGCAGAAGTCACTTTTAAGGGATTTCCTTGAGCCATCAGATGCAGGTGCTCTTCAAAGATCAAAAGAGACCAAAAGTAAGCCTGCTCAGATCGTGATCTCAAATAGCCTGTTTTTATCCTGTCATGTACATTGTAAAAATGCTTTCTGTCTGCAGCTGTGATTTGAATTCGTAGAACATGAATTTCCTCCACATGTTGTTCTGGCTCACAGACCGGTCATTTGACCTCTTTTCATCAAACGAATGTCGGGCTGATTCCAGTTAACGTAACGGTAACTGGAGTTTAAGTCATTATTTTTACAGCATTATAGCTATAAATTATGATGAAATCTTGTGTTTGGATGCAACTTGTTTGAATGATCATGGCAGGAATGTTTTGCCAACCAGCATCTGCGATTTGCAAAATCATAGATAAAACAGAAGTGATTAAACAGAAACGCAGGCAATGTGTTTCTTACCAACCTCTATACGAGGAGTGTGTATGCATATTTTTGTGTACGTATGTATTTATTTATTATTTTTACATTTAAGTCCAATGTAAGGAAATTCATATTCAATTTTTAATGTTTATACAATTCACAGATTGAAAATGTATGGAAACCCATTAACCTTATGCTTAAATCAACAAGTAAACCAATGTTTGCATATATTTTATATATATATTTTTGGAATGGAGTTATTTGAAGGATTTAATTAAGTATTTTCAAGTGCATTTTTGATACATTTTTTAATATGTATATTTTTAACTTTACTTGAAAAGTAATTGATCTGACAATTAGTCCAAAACATCCTGTGTAAATAGTTTAAGTAAGAAAAACCAGTACTATACACTATGGCTGAGTATTGACACAAAAATTTCACAATTGTATATCGATTCATTTAGATGTAGATCAGTTACAGTACATTTTTTCTCAAAAAAAAAAAAAACTCTCTCAACTAATGCTGTAAAGTATACAGTGAACCATGGCAATTAATACACTACTAAACTATTAAAGGTTAAAAATAATAAATGATCTGTATACAAAAAATAAAATTGCACATATGGTGTTTTATAATAATTATATTTATAATAATAACTTTAAACTGTACTCCAGTTAGTTTTTTTAAATATAAACATTTAAACGGTGGCTGTCATAAAAGCTTTGAAACTAAAAATCGATATATATATATATATATATATATATATATACAGTGGGTACGGTTAAAGTTATTTTCAACCCAGCACTACTGTTCAACACCATTTAGATTGTTATTTATTTATTTATTTTCAGAACTACCTGCTCAAATCTACTATAATTTGAAAATGGTCTACTGTAGTGGAAAATGGAAAGAAGCATTTGCCCTCTTCCATCAAACCCAGCAAGTGAGCCATGGCAAAGTCCAGCAACTCGAACCACTGAGCAAACACAAATTACAGTTTAGACTTTCTGTTGGACTGTGTTTCCATAGTTTCTCACAGTGTTTCATTGAAGAAACCTTTTTAATAAACTCAATAAATAAAGATTTAACTGTAGTGTTGTAGACCCAAGTCATGTCAAGCCCTGAAATCTGGACAGGAACTTGGAATCCCTCTTCCTCCTGGCATATTCTAGGGCACCTATTGCCAGCCGTCCTATAGTCACACCCTGCTGACTGACTCTAACCACCACTGTCCTCTCCAACGTTGATGTCAGCGTTTGGAGAACGTTACTACAGTGTTATCCTCTGAGTGCGTGCAATGTCTTAGGGGCCCTTTTATGATGAGTGGGATCTCCCAGAAATCAGTGCGCTTTATAGCTTTTATATTGACTAAATCTATTTAGCTCTAAATCCCTTGTTGAGAACAAGCCAAGAGTGCCTGGATAATCCTATAATCTTTGAGAAGTTGAAAAATACACCATCATTATCTGGGGAACAGTTGCATAATTATAATTTGTTGCAGTTATTAACGACTGCATTACATTGCTTATTATGTCACAAGACTCTTCTCTGATTATGAAACCAAACCCACAATATAAGATATTTTGAGCTTTCAGAAGTTTTGGCTCGGTAAGAGGTTTTAATGGCTTTGAAAGAAGTCTCTTATGCTCACAAAGGCTACAAAATTTAACGTAATATATTTCCCAATATAGAATTGCGAAGCTGTATTTTCTGCAGCCATCAGTCCAGTCTTCAGTGTCACATGATGCTTCAGAAATCATTCTAATATGCTTATTTGATGCTCAATATTTCTTATTATCAATGTTGAAAACAGTTGTACTTCCCAATGTTTTTGTAGAAACCTTGATTCCTTTTTTTCCCAGGAATCTTTAAAGAAAAGAACAGCATTGATTTGAACAGTATAAATTAAAGACAGTCTTTACTGTCACCGTTGATCAATTTAATAGGTCCTCTCTTTAAAATAAATTCATAAACAAAAATCTTGGTGATCCAACTTTTGAATGGTAATGTAGTGTCAAAATCCAAAATGGATTTTGAGTGCCACTTCCAAAAAAGTCTACAGCATGACTATGGGAATACACACTACTGAATACATGTATGGTTTACAATATACTTTGTAACATAACTGACTATCTAATTAAATGCAGGACAGTCTTGAAGGGTAAATATGATATAGGTAGAAGAATATGTGAAGTCAGAAAACAATCGTTTAAGTGAAACCATGTCCTGGGCTGCACCATCTGGTGTTCTATGAGGGGGGAATCCCACACCGCTGGTCTGCTGTTTGCTCCGTGGCCGCTCAGTAACACCACTCTGGACCACAGTCATTAATCTTTGTGCTTTTAGGTTAGGGCCTCCTGCTGAGTCCAATAAACATAATGCAAAGCAAACACATAGTAAAGTTAGGTTGATGTAAAGCATGAGAATTTGTTTTTCTGAGTAGACCATGTCTTGTTAGGTGCTTTGTTGACAGGAGAAATCATGAACACGGACAAGGTATGAAGAAATTTGGTCAATAAGGTTCTCTTTATTAACATTAGTTAATGCATTTAGTATCACGAAACAACGATAAGCAACACATTTTTGCAGCATTTATTACACTAGGTAGATGCTAAATTAGAAATATGTTTCCCCCCCCAAATATACAGCATTATCTAACTGTTAATTTGTACAACTTAAAATGTTAAAAAATACTATACACTACTATTCAAAAGTATGGGGTTGTTGAGATGTTTCTGAAAGAAGTCTCTTATGATCACCAAGGCATTTATTTGATCAAAAATACAGTAAAAACAGAAGTATTGTGAAATATAATTACTGTTAAAAAGAACTGTTTTCTATTTTGATGCTCAAAAATATTTATTAATATTATTGTCAATGCTAAAAATGGGTTTGCTGCTTAATATTTTTGTGGAAAACATCATGCATTTTTTTCAGGATTATTTGATAAACACAAAGTTCACAATCAATTTAATGCATCTTTACCGAATGAACAACATATTAATTTCTTCTTACTGACCCCAAACTTTTAAAACAGTAGTGTATTGTAGAAATTAACCAAGATTAATAAATACTGTTAAAGTATTACTCATTGTCAGTTCATGTTAGGTACTGCAACTAATGTTGACATAAAACCTTATTGTAAAGTGTTTCCAATTCTTTCACATTTGCATGAAATAATGTGATAGCACGTTTATGTAAATAATTTTTTGCCTGTTTTTCAGACCTCGTCTAATGCCTCTAAAGCACTTTCTATCTCATTGCCTTCCTAAAGATTAAATAACAACTTTGTATGTGGTGATTGATTGAAAGAGAAGTGTTATTTGCCATTCATGCGACAATATAAACCCTGCTACAAAAACATTTTCATTCTATGTTTTTACTGCTCATTGAATTTTCTGTTCAGTGGTTCAGTACAAATTGGTAAACACAATTCTTTAAATATAGGTTGAATCATTGAGCAAGAAAAAGCATTAAGACTCGCCACACCCCAGCCTGAATCGAGCCTAGAGGTATTTGAATGTCTCACTGTTAGATATGAACAAAGCTGTCCGTCATTCCTGAGCTTAAGGAACATATTCCTACTGATGCGAGGAGTCATACAGTGCGCGGTGCCCCCGACCCGTCCCTGATTCGGAGAAGTGCCATTTTCATGACTGAGTGCTCTTTAGTGTCAGATAATGACTGTTCTCAGATCAGGGGGGAGAAAAGATAAACGAGTGGATTTTCTGGTTGGGTTGACTCTAATACCACCTTCTCTTGACCGTCGATTTGTGTTGAGTGAATGTACGGTGAGAATTGACACTGGATGTCACACATGAGCATCTCCACTTGGTGTGTTTTTCCAGAGACAAGCAAACACGGAGGTGGAAAGACGTTCTGGAATGGGGCTTTTCAAAGTTAAGACGCTGAGATGCAGCCTAGGCTGACAAACTAGATCCAGAAGAAAGAGATAAATGCCTTCTTTCCTTGTTCTGACATGTATTCCCATTGATAGAAGGATTATGTGAATCTGAATGTGAATGAGCAGAGTGTACACAGCAAAGGCTTTACCCGTTAGCATCTACTGTACGAGGCACACCCAAGCTAGACATTAACTGTCCTGTCATTTCTGTTTGACTTATGGAGGGATACTTATAAAAAATGTTTTCTTCACTTCTTTCTGCTGTGGTTTTTGGTCGAACCCTTGATTCTCCAGAGCTTAAGTCACAGATTCTTTGAGAAAACTCTTATACAAGATCTTCCTAGTCTTTGGGTGTTAGTCAAACTCTGATTTCTCAAGGTGGTCCAGGTGGTCCTCCGTTTGCGAGAGAGTCTACCGTTTGAACTCGGTCGGAAGGGTCTTTGTTCCCTTTCTTATTGTCATTCACATATATTGTCTGTGGTTGTTTTGTCAAATTCCTCTGTACTTCTGTCAAACATTCCTCTCCCCTCCATTGCCTACTCTTTTACTTGCTTCTCATTAAAAGTTCCGGGGGAGACAGATGGAGAGGAGAGGGGGGAAAAAGCTAGTTTGGTGCTGGCCTGGGGGCCTCGTGCTCTGTTGTGGGAAGCAGCGTGAACGGTTAATGGAGGGAGGTCTCACTCAGGGGGAGATGACACCCACGTTTACAGAGGAACGAGGTACTGTAACGCACATTGATGTCAGAACGTGAAATGGAAAATATGGTGCCCTTTTGGAACGGAGGAGAGTGACTCAGGTGACAGGACGAGAGGAGAAGAGAAGAGTTTAAATGCAGTGAGAACTCTCTTTATGGCTCTGGCTGGACCGCTTCCCGACCTCCTGCGTCTCTTCATGAAACAGAGCAGACCTTCCTTACATGAAAAGCCACAGTGACAGCACCTGGTTGCTATTTGGCCTAATGGACTGGGAGCTTTACTCACCAACGAGCAAATCAACTTGGGGGGGCTTGTTGCTTTGTTGCGCACTCACCCGCTGCCTCTTCCATCTCTCTCTTGTTTTCATCTTTCTCTCTCTTTTTCTTACCAAGGTTATTATAGTCTTGCAAATTGTTTTTTCTTTTTTTTTTTTTTACTAAAATTTTTGCATTCATCTTATTTTTTAGTTTAGGTTTAATCGGTTTCAGCAAACCAATAAGCCGTTTGTGCACAAATACATAAAAGCCAGAGGAAACCGTTTAGGTTGCCCTCTTTTGGCTGGTTGCCGTGAACTCGTTAGTCCTTGCTGGTAGATGTTGCAACTACTCTTTTTCCATGGATAGCCACTCAAAATTAGCTGTTTGTTCTGACTATATATATATTTATTTCCAAGCCACATATACATTGCTAATATGATATATTATTTATGCATTATAAATGTATTCATTACTTATTTTGTATTTATTTATATATTTATATTTTGTGATTAGAGTTATTTACATTGTTATTAGAGTGATTTGTATAACATTTATATATATACACTGCTGTTCAAAAGTTTGTGATCAGTAAGATTTTTATTGTTTTTTAAAGCTTCTTATGCTCATCGAGGCTTTATCTATTTGATCAAAAATACAGAAAAAAATTGTAATTTTGTGAAATATTATTGCAATTTAAAATAACAGTTTTCTATTTTAATATACTTTATATTTAATTTCTTATTCTTTATAATTTATTCCTGTGATGCAAAGCTGAATTTTTAGCATTACTCCAGTCTTCAGTGTCACATGATCCTTCAGAAATCATTCTAATATGCTAATTTATAATCAATGTTGGAAACAATTGTGCTGCTTAATATTTTTTGGGACGTGTGAGACTTTTCAATCAAAATAGAACTTTTGTGTTACACTACTATTCAAAAGTTTGGGGTCAGTACATTTTTTATTTCTTTTCTTTTCTTTTCTTTTTTTTTAAGAAGTGAATACTTTTATTCAGAAATGGTGTGTTAAATGGATAAAAGGTGATAGTAAAGACTTATATTGTTAGAAAAGATTTCTATTTTGAATAAATGCTCTTTTTTACTTTTTATTAATCAAAGTATCAAAGAAAAAAGTATTCAACAGGATTAAAAAAAATATTAAGCAGCACAATAGTTTTCAACCCTCATAATAAATCAGCATATTAGAATGATTTCTGAAGGATCATGTGACATTGAAGACTGGAGTAATGGTTTGATCAAATAAATATAGCCATGATGAGCATAAGAGACTCCATTAAAAAACATTAACAGCATTTTGGGGGCCTGAAATGCAAACTTTTGAAAACAGTATAGTTATCTTCTCTGCACTCTTAAAAATAAAGGTGCTTAAAAGGTTCTTCACAGCGATGCCATAGAAGAACCATTGTTGGTTCCACAAAGATCCATTCAGTCAAAGGTTCTTTAAAGCTGCAGTCGGTAAGTTTTGCCTCTTTGTCGCCATCTCTGTTTGAAATCCTGGAATTGCAGCTGTGTGCGGAATTATCTTACTTGCGTGGGTTGTTAGTCGGCACGGCTCCAGCGTGGATTAATCTAATGCTTTGAGGAGTATGTGTGGCTGTCAGTCACCGCACCGGTGTGGATATTTACTGTACTTCAATCACAGATTCTAGCCTACATTTTGGAATATGACCCAAATAAGAATTTTTACCGTATATTGCCATCTGAACAAGTAAGTAACAAGTCTACCACGTTTGTTCTGACCAACTGAGGAAAAAAGCATTACAATAAATCGCGCTACCAACGGTGATTAAATCTAACGATCGGTTAGCTCATATCACATCAAACCGTGCAAATTATTATTGTTATATTTTATTCTCAAATGATTAATGTTAACAACATCAGCTTTGGGTACTATGAGTATAGTGTGTATTAGCGTGTAGATTTAAATTTCTGCACAGTCTAATCTAATTGTCATGCACTTCGAATTTCATATTAAGCAATTTTTTTTTAACCCAAAAAGCAAATTATGCTCGCTTCGAACTGGTTTTCTTTAAAATACAAATCTTTGTAATCCCAGGCTATCTGTAATCAGAAGCATTATTATATTATATATTTATATTATATTATAAATGTGCATGATATAGCACATTTATAACTGGAATATAATTTCATTTTATTCACGTGTTTTATAAAGACATAATCCTTTATGGATTACAATCCGCCAAAATTATACATTTAATTATTATGGCTGCTGTGAGAAAAGGCTATAAACGATCAGCCACCCAACCAAAAAAAGTTACGGACTGCAGCTTTAAAGAACCATCTCTTTCTTACCTTTTTTATAATCTGAAGAACCTTCTTTCACCACAAAGAGCCTTTTGTGAAACAGAAAGGTTCTTCAGATGTTAAAGGCTCTCTATGGAACCATTTAGACAAAAAAGGTTCTTCTATGGCATCGTGAAGCACCTTTATTGTGTAAACTACAAAATACTTTGAGTGTGTGTAAACTACAAAAAGACAAATTTGTGAATATGGTGGCGTCATGCACATGCTTATTATGTGTTCAGTCTATAGGCATGTGCGCAATTGCGTAGTGTTTCTGTCAGAGTGTTGCATACCCTTTTTGTTTACTTTGCATTAATTATTATTGTTTTCAAATGAAGTTTTCATCTCTTAAGGTCCTTGCACACTGAGTCCGAAATTTTCGTATGCGTTTTTTCATATTCGTCATCCTAAAAATTCGTCACGCTCAGAAACCTTGCACACTGAGTCCGATGCGTATTAATTAATCCGTTGCGAAAAAATTTGCAAAACAGTACTAAATGGAGTCTTCAAGCATTGAGGATGGTTTTGTTGTCCTCTCTCTTCTTAAAAAGAGAAAAAGAAAGGAAATATTGGGTACATCCAATCACGGACGATTCAAAGTCTACTTCAGGATGTCAGTGGCTCAGTTTGATGCTTTGCTAGCGATACTAGAGCCACATGTTAAAAAGAAGACCACCAATTTCTGTGAACTCGGTGTGCAAGGATCTTTACGGTGCTCTGTGTTGCGAGACGAAGTGTATGAATTTGGCAATCACCATTCTGGATTTTGGCGTTCGCTTGTATGGTGGCTCTGAATTGTCAAAACATCTCTCAAAATGTTTGCTACGGATGCGAAAAATGCAGAAAATCGAACCCGATCCGAATTTTTATTATGACGGATGAAAGTTTCAGAGGAAGTGTGTAAACGTGATTGACATAACGTGAGGTCGTATTTATTTTTCAACGTGCGAAAATTTCGGACTCGGTGTGCAATGGCCTTTAGTCTTCACTTTTATTATCTAATAATAATTTTGCCTTTCTTGATATGCTGTATCTCCACCTGTCTTCACCCTGTAAGCTGTGCAGTCTACGTGTTGTAATGTACCCTTGTGGTACATTTTCTCCAAGTGAGATAGGGGGACCACATGAGGCATGGTGCACAGGATCCACCAATGACTCGCACATATAGACCACGTCCTTTCCTCGACTGCTGACAGACAGCAGTTCAGAGAATCCCTAACTTCTTTTTTTCCTTCCACCCTGTCTCTTCCTTCTCTTGTGTTTTTGGGGTTTGTGGAGAATGCTGACATGAGATTTCCTGCCAGTGTGTTTTCCTGTTCAGAGCACTATTACTTCATTCAGAATGTTTTTTTTTTTTTTTTTGGCACTGTGCTCATCCATCATCAGATTCCTTGAGGACGGAGCTCTTTGTGGACATACAGCTCATATGTCTTCAAATCTGAACGGTCCAGTCGATTATTCCTTAACCTCGTTCTCCCCTCCCATATCCTGGGAGAGACCGTGCCTCTTTCCATTGTAAAGTGGTTTAGATTACACTGCCTCATTGTTGATTTCTCCCTCTTTCATCCTCCATAACTAAAATGACAAACACATTTCTCTTTCAACTTGCAGAACACAGTTCATTTGTCATATCTCGCTCGCATCTCTCTCTCTCCAGGCCTGCCGTGAAGATACAGCGGCTCAAAGGGGGTACGGCTTCGCTCTGCAGTCTGGGGCCTCCTAACAAGGTATCTGTGTATCTAATATTCAACATGTGTTTTAATGTTTCCACTGGAGGTCTTCGTAAAAATCATTTTTTCCTCATCAAAACACGAACTTGCGAAAGTGAAAACAGGAGAGGAGCAAAAACAAAGGTCTGACTGTAAAACCCTGAAAACTTCCAGCTCAGCATTCACTCCTTTAAATCAAAGTGCTGCCATTGAGACCAAACAGTGAGTCAGACACTGGAGGTAACACAATTTCCATGCAAATTCGCCATGCTTAATAAATCCAAGTTGTCGAAAAACCACCCTTTGTGAGTGGCGATGGCCTCGCTCGCACGCCTCCTCCGAAATGTCTTTCCATTTCCATGTCTCTCTCGCTCTCTGTGTTTAACAGTTGCAACTTGAAGAAAAGGATCAATAAAACATTACGTTTCATCATTTTTTCCATTCTTTAATTTTCACCACAAAGCTGACATGTTTTAAGAGGTGCAACCTAATATTGCCTGAACTCCAGGACCCACCACAAAGATCTCTGGGTAACGGCAAGGGGAGGAAGTGCACAGACAGGAAGACGGGCGTGTATGGAAAAGCACACTCCACTTGGCTGCAGCAGCACGCCCTTAAGTAACAACATATGGCAGCGGAGGAATTCTTCTGATTGACGGTCGCATGAACATCACCCTGTCGCTGTGGACACATGTCCATGTTGGAGGACTGATACGACTAGCCGTACCTAATTCCTTTCCATGTTCTCATTTTGGAGTAGGCATCACAATGGGTATGATTCATGGGGTAATTCCGACAGCTACTGACTTGGCTCCCGCTCGCATTTGGGAAGAATGTGACCTCACAATACTGTTCTTTCAAAGGCCTATCCCTGTCTGTTCTTCTCCCAGACCCGGCCTGAAGCACGCCTCTGTTCCTGAAGAGGGAGAGAGGGAAGTAGGGAGAAATCGAGGAGGAGAAATAGTGGAGAGAGTGAAACTGTGTGTGTGTGTCTTTCCCTAATAGCCAGTCCAGAGGAAGGCAGGTCATTGTCATTCCAGGGCAAAAGCAAGCATGGACAGCATTATTCTTCTCGCTCACTGTCTGTGCATGACATAGGTCTACATATAACAGACCTCGTCTGTACAGCTGCATCACAAGCAACTCAACTGTTAAATCAGAAATAACCATTACAATTAAAAGGCAATAGAGGTGGTGCTTTAACTGCATTTTGAGTTATGCATTGCATTGTTTTTTTTAGGGTTAATGTCCATAAACTTCATGTCCTGGCAGAAACTTATACCAGCACCTTTTTTTTCTGTTTTTCTACAGATTTTTTCTTACAGTGTGAGAGAAAGAGAGAAGGCAGGAGGGGATGTGATGCTGTGGACTTTTCTCATCATGGGCCACCAACCTACTCACCACAAGCCTTCATTGGTAAACGCATACTTTTCAAACACATCACAGATACATACATAAAAGACAATAGACTCTTCTTCAGCCTGTCACTCACTAACTGGGTCACTCAAAACAGCTGGACAGACTTTTGTCTGGTGTTCACCCACACATCTCCCATGGCAGGCCAAAACCACCACGTGGTTTGTCATCCATCTCTATGCCAACTGTGCATGTTAGATATCAAAGCAGTCATCCATCTCTTTCTTATTAGGCGTCTCACCATACAAACAGCTCTGAGTCATGTCCTAAACTTCTTATGATACTCCATTCAAATTGTTTATACAGATTTATTCCAAAATCATCATGTTAAATAGCAACTCTACAAGTGAGCACCTTCAATCAGCACTAGACCAAACAACATATTTTTTAAGATGGAGCCAAATGGAAATATATATTGCATAGCCATTTAAGTCATTTGTTTTTTTTCCCCTACATTTTGCTGCAACAAAAGAATGAGGCATTTTGGGGCAGACAATGCATTGGCAGGGGAAGAAAGGTTGAGGGAATTGTTAAAAATGGGCTCCTGGGCAATCTCTCAATTCTTCCATGAGCGCACACCCCTTGGCTTTGAAAGTTTCAATCAAGACATCACACTCTTATTTGCTCTGTTTAGCCACTTCGCTAAGTGCTAAGTAAGTTGATTTCCTGGAATTGTCTCCTTTGGTAAGTCAAAGAAAACTGGCCCTTAGTCATAAAAAGCAAGATAGTCAAAACAACCGTAATTAAAAATAAGATCCTTCAGAAATGGCCAAACTTTTTATTTTTGGCAGCCAAACAGTATAAACTTGACTCGTTTAAATGCATTAGTGGTAATAAATTATCAAACTGAAGTGTCTGTTTGCTATGTAGTTGTAAAATAGTGAATGAGCTGTTTTCAATTAGCATAAATTCAAGACTTCACTGTTATACTTTGATTTGCAGACGATCTGGGCTCCTAGATGTCCGTTGAGGGTGGAAGAATTTGGCATTGTTGGAAGTCTAAAAAAAAGCATGTCGGCTTTTCAGAAGTGATGATTTCAAGATCAGCCAATTCATTCTTATCTGGGCCAAGAATGAATGTTTGATATCTGGATATCGTTAACTTGAGGTACACTGTGTTTCTTGGAGTTACAGCATATCTGATTACTGGTGTTAATGACAGCCTTGAAACTGATGTTCTGATACATCGTGAAATAAAATAAAAGCTGTCCAGTATTTTATAACCCTGTATAGCATTGCATAAACTTGCTGTTTAGAAGGAAAGTGATTCACTTAAAAGGCTATAGTGAATGTTATTCCTTACAGGATGCTTTTATTAGCATTGTTGCATTACTATAAAATACTATAAACAGCTTTAAAGACATTGTGAGGAGTTTTACACATGGTCTGGTTCCATTTGAGTTTCTTTCTGTCTTTAAACCGTGGTCAAGTGCATGAGAGTAACCTACTGGAATCAGTACAGAGTAGCTGTTGGTTCGACAAGCAAGTAGACTAGACATCTATTTTACAAAAATAGAGCTTAGTTTATTCCCAAGCACAGTAAACATGAGTCAAAAAAACATCAGTTTAATGACTCCAACACCAGAGCAGTCCAGAACAGCCCAGGAGGTCAGATAGCAAAACCATCTAGTCAGTTTCGTGGAGCTGTACTGATATAAACCCAATAATAGGAGCAGATGACGTCGTTTAATACCCTGAATGTGTTTTTGTTTAATTCTTGAGAAAATATTGTCTGAGCTTGTTAAATGTCTACATCAGTGTGTTTTAAAGGATCCCTAAAGTAGCCATAATTGCTTGTAATGCAACACACAGTAGAGCTGGCAAATGCATATGAACAACACTTCTGCAATAGCAATGGTTTTCTTTATATGCACAATAAAATGTGTATGTAGTCCCGTGTTTCCCGTATAGACGCAACAAAAAGAAATATATGATTTGCACTTAAAATGTTGAATCTATCGTTTTAACATCATTGCTGTTACTATTTACAAATCCAAACAATGTCACTGTTTAATTTTACAATGTGGCTAGCATGTCCTATGAAACAGCATGGCATAAAGCAACTGTTGTTAAGCATCCAGAAAAAGACACACCACACTCTAAAAAAATAGTTAGGGCCTGGGACTGCAGCATTAGCTAACCTCCCCGTGATTAACCATTTTGAATTCCTCATAATAGCGTTTCTGTCAGCATAGCTTCTCAGACATTTCCTTGAAGATTTCTATCAGCAATGCAAACACACCCTGGGAAATATCATGCTAATCACCATGATTCCAGCATGTGCCTCATTTTCCGCTGGGAGTAATGTATCTGGATCATAATGCACAAATGAAAACAATCAAATCATCTGTTGAGGTAAGAGGAAAATCATATTCAGGAGGCCATGCTGGTAAAACCACAGATTAAAGATACTTAATTGTATGCTGGGTGTGCGTACAACTAAGTAAATGCACTGCACAAATGTCTTTATCTCTTAAGCAGTGTTGCTTTTCAAGTGAAATCGTTGTTTATTTAATAATTTATTTTTGCAATATGTGTCATTGTGCTTTTACGGAAAAAATTAAAATAAATAAATAAAATAACAATAAAATAAAATAAAAATAATAATCCGATTAAATCAGTATTTTGTAGTTTTACTGAATTAATATTGAAACAACCTTTACCTGAGAAGCAAAATTACATAAGAAGATAAAAAAAACATTATTGAGAAATTAGTTGTTTAGATAATTGTACTGGAACACAAGACAAAGAAAATGAAACGGCTGATTAAGAAAAATAATTGTTTAAAATGTACTACAATTCCACATTGAATGCAGTGCAAGTTTGGCAGTAAGTGCACTTTGCAGCAGCACTGCACATTTTTAAAGCTCACATGATTCATAGATTGCACATCTGTGGAATCAATCAGTACTGCAGTCGCTGACTCAGTGTGTAATCACAAAACCTTCCTCAAGAACAGGAAGACAGTAGACACTGAAGCCTTTCCTGTCAATGAAAGTGCATATTGTAGACAATGAAACAAGGAAGCATAAATTGGGAGCACCTAATATGAAGTTGGGTAGAACTTCCCTTAGAGTTAGTATATGTACTTAAATGAGGGGTTATAATGGATATGAGGATTGAGAGATCCACCTCATTGTTTGAAGGAAAAAAAACAGTGTTAACAAGATTAATTGATATTTGCATGTAGAAAGACCAAATAGGAAATATGTCAATATTAGAAATCTTGCAGTTACTTTCCTAGGCAATGCATTTGAGTAACTGAACTATTTCTATATGCATATTTTAATCTGGCCGTGAATACTGGTTTAAGAGCAGGCCTGTGTGTTTAGATATTGGTTGATGAGATTTTTCTTTAATGCATTCCTAATCGTTTTACTCTGTAAAGTGTTAATTTGATTCCTCAATAGATTTATGGCAGTTTCCAGATGGGCTGGCTACCAATCAGGCAGACTTGCCCCAGAGCAATTCCTCAAGTGAAGCAAGACCACAGAGGGTAGGGCAAAGGTCATCATGTGGTTCAAGCAGTACCTTCATTTTCCATTATGATTGAAGGCTGGAATTAAAGGAATAGTAAATGAAAACACCCTCAGGCCATCCAAGATGT